TTCCCTGCCGGGGTGGGGGGAGGTTTTACCTAAGTCGGTACTAGAGGAATCCCACATCTCTCTCTCGGACAGGAAGAATAAAGAGGCTTGGGAACAACACTGCCCATTTCTCCCTTTCACAATCACGTGTGCGCGAAAAAATTCCTGGTGACACGTACCAAAGTGAAGCCGACACAAGTGAAAACAAGAAGACAGGTCCACAGGTTTGCCAGGACAAGCAGAGTCACCAGAAACACTGTCATTAATGCCAGGCCCATATTACGAAACAGTTCCTCGGAGATCACCTGGAAGGGAAGATTGACCACAAGCTGATTGAATTTACGAGCACATCGTTACGATATAGGTTACACAAAAAATTCCCTTTAGTGTTGCACGTACAAAATACTCTATAAAAATCTTCTATCACTCTTCTTTCTCGTACTTTTAATGAGCGTGTTGGCTTGGAGTATTAGCTTACGGACGACAATTAAGTCTGAGGTTTAAGACAGTTTCCGAGCTATGAACCACAACGTAATAAAGTGAGGCTATTCTCTTACCTTGTTTGTCTCCCATCCCAGATAAAAAAAAGAGAATGGGAAGGCAAGCTCATCGGGGAACATCTCTCCGACTTTTTCACGCAAGTCCTCCATAGCTTTGACTTCTGTTTGTGTGGAGTCCATGTCTTTATGCGTCAATCTCATTCGAGTAGCCTGTCGGAGAAGGATAAATAATGAATGATCTTAACTGGATTTAAAACAACACAACACTCATCAAGAGAGGGAGGGGGGGGGAGTTCTCAATAGCTGTCCACAGAGTGCTACATTACGATGTTAAGGAGAAAATTGCATTAACCCTTTACATCCTAACATTAGCATGCATATTTTCCATTTCATATGGTATGGCAGAGAAAAGTCGTTCGACAATCGAGAGCTTCTGAAATTGTTGTTGAATTTATCCTCGTTATCTTCATGTTTGAAAGAGATGACCAAAGGCTTACGAGTGAAGGGGACTTCGTCTCATTCAGTTGCTTAAAAAGGAGGAACATTTCTTACTGTAATTTCAAAGGTTGACCCCGTTCCATTCTTCATTCGCACATCATTACGATAGCTGATCCCAGGCTCCTTTAGAAACTCGTTCAGCCATTTGTAGAATTCCGTTTTGCTGTTTATTTTCCCTATAATGGACAAATGGAGAAATTATTTCAATGCTGCTGATAGTTTTGTTCCTAAAGAAGAGAACTTTATCGATAGTGCAAGCAGTACAAGTAATGCTTGGCAATTTGGAGCAATTTTTAATTGAGTGTCCTGAGTAATCTTGGATTTCTTTGATCTTGCTTTACTTCGCCCTTTGATTGATATATCGATCAAGACTACTATGGTGCGCATGTTCCAGTTTTCTCTACAACTCACATTTAGAGCTGCTCTGATCAAACACTTGTCCTGGTTTCACTTTCTTGGCCCAGTCAATGTATTCTTCATACCAACTGTTCACTGAGCTTGCCACCACATACTCGTCACTGACTGCCAGATCGTAAAGGCCGTGTAGTTTGCCTTGATTTTCAAAATATTCAAACTTTCCTGCAGATAAAAACGACCCCAACAAACAGTTTTGTTTGATGAAACATGTTGAACACTAAACTGTTTCCTTCTTTAAAATTCTTGATACGGTATTGTGCAAAAGTGATGCCAATGAAATGTAGGAATTTCCTTGTTTGTCCTTGTGAAATTTCCTCGAAAGTTGAAGCGAAAGTTCGCGCGGAGATTCGCAAATTCGATTCGCGTCATTTCCCTGGAAGACAGAGCACTATTTTTGTTAAAGCCACCCTGTCGATCTAACTAGTTTCCTCCTTGATTATTGGAAGTCTGATTGTTTCTCTTTGGCTACTTGGAGGTGAATAATACTTTGCTAATTACTTCTGAATTAGCCAAAAAGCTCGCACAAAAAGTACTTTTACCATAATTGTGAGAGCTATCTTTATGTCTGAACTAAGACCACACAAGACGCAGATAGTCAATGGATAATTTTTCTTCGAAAACGACTGTACCGCTCTCGTGTACTGCCGCATTAAACACGCTTGACGCGCGTGTAATTCCCGCGCATAACACACGCGGAACACGCACACTGCAGTTCACTACACGCACCTGCGTATAATAAAAAATGAACTGGAAAATGCATTTTATCAGCTCACGAACCTGTGTAGATATTTGCCGGTCTCCCATCCACAGGGAAATACTGCAATAAAATAACAGTTTTAGAGCATATACCGCATTCAATAGAACAATAATTGATTATTTGCATCTAAAGTGAGGCGCTTGTTCGAGGGGGGCACTTATTGAAGGGCGACGCCCATTGAAAACTGGATGCGACGAAAAAATGTTCTCTTTCAATTTAACGGTATGTTTTCAATTCGTACGAAAATTTTATAGTAACTAACAGAGGTGTCTGTTGATGTCACCGATTTTCTCTCCCGGTACTTTCATTTGCATTTGTATTTTTTTCTTCACTCAACTTCGATCTCACTGAGCCCTTCTTCTTCGGGGCGGCGCTTATTTGAGTAAACAGGGTATCACATAACTTAAACTACCCACAACAGCTTTAATTTTTTGCAAGTTTTTAAAAGCCCCATTGCCAATAGAAGTTATGTGTAACTTTTGGTAAACTTGTGTTTAGTTCAACTGACCTAGTTCTCCTACGCCTCAATACTACAATTTGGTTTGGTAAAAAGCACCCACATCTTCTGTTGTTTCCTAATCCAACCCTACATAATGCAATGGTTGACTCGTGAGCGGGCCGTCACTCCTCTTTAGGGAGTTTTAGATCCACGTTTGTTTCTGAATACGTGTAACTGCAAACGTCTAGAAGTCATGGGACCAGACTCCAGCGGTCACGTTTGCCGTCCACGTTTGAACTTCAAGTAAGGCAGTTTCAGGTGATTAAACTCCGTCGACGCTTTTTGTCTTCTTGTTCGAAAGTTCTCGCGTATGTCCTATAAATATCTGTGAAGTAAAGTCTCTTCTTCATAAACATTCCGTTTGGGACGCTAGAAACCGATCTTTCAGCCACATTTCGTGCTTCAAATAAAGGACCTCCATCCATTGTGTATTTCGAGATGGCGGCGCACATGTTGATTTTTTCCAGGTGAAATCCGACGTCGATCTAAAAAGCTGAAGGTCTTGAAACTTCTAACCTCTAACCACAAACTGCTGACCGCGGTTTGACGTTTGCGGTGAACACTCCAAACGTGGATCCAAAACTCCCATTAATAGCGCTTCGGCACGAGCGTAACAACGCGAGCTGGCAAGAGATCTGCAAGGGGTCTGGAACTAATAATTATTGGTGCCAGACCCCCGGCAAACTTCTCCTCGACTCGTTTCAAATCTACATACCAATCGCTCTCACGAAGGGCTAACGCTCGAGACGTCCGCCTTTAAACTCTTTACGGTGGCCAATTTATGTTTTCAACTCAGTTGATAACGCTTAATTACCTGTTATACTCTCCCACCGACGCAGCACCACAGTTTCTCGAGAAAATTACCCCCTTTATACGTTTCAAATCTTCCCGGGGTCGGAGAAATGCGGGTCTTGTCGCGCTAATAGGTCTCCTAGTTTTGACAAAGAGACTCATTAACTGTACCTTGGTATTCATTGTACTGTACTTGTAACTCATTGAGTCGACTGGCAAAAACCAGATGCGGTCGAAGTACTGCCGCAGCATCAGTGTACCGTATAAATTAACACCAAAAAGGGTTCCTGTTATAATTATCACAACGATCTGCAAGATAATAAAAATACAACGCAAAAAGTTTTTAACAAAAATAAAATGCGCAAATCAATACTCTGAAATACAATTATGTTCAGGATTGACAAAAAGAATTTGCGCACTTCAAAAAGAGTTCACATAGGAGAGATAACGACTAAGTTTTCTTATATCAACTGAGTTGATAATATAAATTGACCACCCTAGAGAGTTTCTAAAGTGACACTTCGAGAGTCAACCCCTCGTGAGAGCGAATGCTCGAAACGTCAGATTTAGAAACTCTTTACGGCGGCCCGTTTACAATACAAACTCAGTTGATAAAACCAAATTAGTTTGTAAAACCGCCAACGACGCAGCAAGACAGTTTCATTAGAAACTTATCCTCTTTATTTCTTTTAAGATCAAAACAATGACGAAGGCCAACTCAAGACTGGTGCGATTCACAATTCAACAGAATCCGGAATACCGACAATTTATAATGGTAATTGAACTGAGTGGAGTGCAATTTGGGCTGAAATCATACGTGTGATTTCAAAATCGAGCAAGCGCGCTCGATTTGAAATCACAAGTATGATTTCAGACCAAAACTGCACGACACGAGGCTCAATTACCACTTTATTACACCTATTTTGAAATCGCCCAACTAAAGGAATTGGTCAGTTCAAATATTTTACTGATGCAGTACTGAACCGGTCTGAAATTCAATTCATCCATTTTTTGGGAGGAAAAAGTAAGAGTTTTGGAAACAAAAGTTGCAAAATGTGCCATATGATACTCTTTGTCTTTCATTTTCCTGTAATGTGATTGGTTACTTTAAACAAGCCTTAAATCAGATTGGTTGTTTTGTTTTTAGTGTAGCCTCCTTATTGGCTAGGAAGAAGATGCGATTTAAAGCAAAAAATGGTGCGATTCGTGAATAAATTGCACCAATTGGAGCCAATCAGATTACAGGGGCCACTGGTGATTTCAAAATGGGTGTAATAAATATGAAACAATCAAGTGTGTTTTGATAGATTCTCATTGATAAGGACACCTTTTGATTTCTTTTGAAGAGAAATCGAATTTCACTGAGGCTAAATCCTGGACATATCTCCTAAAACTCTTAACTGTGTAATTGCACTACGTTTTTACCTTTCCTGGAAGTGACAGTAAAGCTCGTGCAAAATATTTGTCCATAAATTCCTGCAAGAGATCTCTTTTGCCACGCTTACTTTCTGTGTAATCATCTCTCAGCTTGATACAACAGCAGCAGCCATCTCGATTCTTATTTTGCCTGTACACAATTGAGCAAAACTGTTAGAAAAAAAAGTTGCAAATGAAACTCACAAAGTGACATTCAAGTAACAAAAAAATAGCCAAATACTTGGACATACATTATTGTGCAAAAGTAACGCAAATATCCATCGACACATTCAGACGCTCTCTATCCCAAATTTTCGAAGAAATTTTGCCTGAAACAAAATTTCTACTTTGCGTGGCAGCTTTTGTTTGGATCCGTCTAAACTTTCGCGAAATAACTCACTGGGGACGTGAGTGAGTCCCGCAATTTCAAGAGAAAGTTTGCCCCTACTGAAAATTTGCACTTCATCATTCACGCAAAAGCTGTATTGGCGAAGGAAGATTACTTCATAACAAAACACATAGAATTTCCCGCTGTGATCCAGTCTCCAAGCAAACTGCAATCAAAGCAACCTTGTAACGTGAACCATGTTTCCATCGTTGTGAACAAGAGAGCATTTTACCTTCTGGCATCCAGAGCTAAGAAGGCTGTAAACATAGTGGCCTGAAGTGCAAAGTCTGCTAAAATACCTGCAATAGGAAAAAATTTACAATGGAGGATAATCTGATTTTGTTGCTCGTGTAAAAAACAAAAACAAACGAAAACAACAACAAAAACAAAACAAGGCAAAAAAAAAAAACCTACAACAAACACAAAAAAGACAAGACACAGAAAAACAAAAAAACAACAACCAAAAAAATCCAACTTACCAATTCCAGCAAAAAGACAGAAAGATCTCAAGGCTGGTAAAATCTGGAAGGAAGATCATCAAAACCATCAGCTCTTTTGCTCCCATGAGTGACTAAGATTTTCTCATTGTAATATCAATACATATGAATTAGTTAAAAAATCCCCTTCCATGACATTAACTCTTGAGAATTGTGATGTTTAAATAATACAATTTACATAAAATATAGAAAATAAACAACTCACGGTGGTTGCTCCTATCATGAAAGCCAAGAAATCAGTCAAAGATGTAATTGTTATTGAACAGCCCTGGAATAAAATAAATAAAAAATCTTAGCCAAGATTCACAGAGTGTAAATACCAGTAGTAGTACTGATTTGTCATATTCTATGTTCACCCTAAAAATGTTACATACTGCAAAAACCTGCATATAAGAACCTAAAATTTAAAAACTTGTTAGGCTTAACTCCCATGAGTGACCAAGACAGAATTTCTCCCTATAACATCAATACAATATCAAGCATACAAGTGATGAGTGCGAAGAAAAATATCAGTTAGGGGATTATAAGTTGATCCAACACCAAATTCTCCCAACTAACATCACAAGAACTGTATGGCAGACAGTAAGGAGAATTACTAATGAGATCTTGGGAGTTACACCCTAACATTAGTATCTATATTCTCCATACTCTTCTCTATACATTTCTTTTAATACTAACAAGGATAATTTTTTTAACAATCAAAGCTTCTTTAGTTGGCAATAAATTTCCGTTATAACTCGTGATCTCAATAAATGATTCAGCTGTATTACTGTCAGGAGAAATTAGATGCTGGTCACTCTCAGGGTTTAAAGGGATAAAAGAACCATTTTAGGCTAAAATCTCAATACAGGTTCTTATTTTAAGAATGCAGCGTTTGCTCAAATTTGATACAGTACATCATATGTACTGTAAAGGGATAAAAAGAACCATTCTAGGCTAAAATCTCAATACAGGTTCTTATTTTTAGAATGAAGTGTTCGCTCAAATTTGATACAGTACATCATATATGTGATACAAAAAGGTAACAAAAACTAGCCGGAACACAAGCAGCGTTATAAGACCACAATACTGTACTATCAATACATCCATAGTTGCATAACATATCTGACTGTTTTTGCAAGTTAACCATGTTAAGCAGGGTGTCATGAGGTTGGCATACAGTGCAGTATCACACCCATGCCCACTGACACAAGATGCCTTTTTTTTAAAACAACAATTAATAATGTGATTAAGAAACTAGGTAGCCTAATTTCACAATAAACACCATTTATATAAGAACCTATGGAGGCTAACTTAAAAATAACCCAGGTTCTTAAAATAATGCAGGTCTTGATTTGTATTTCATTAGTCTATTGAGTATGCTTCTTTCTCCATACTGATCCTAACTGGATGCTGAGGACCCTTACCATACGCAAACTTAAGTTTGGTAAAGGTATAACCTGACAATAGGGGTTTCAGTAACTTTTTTCATAAGTAGCTGCTGATGGTGTAGTTGGCCATTGTGCCAGAAAAAGGAGCTGTAAAGCGAAACCCAAACATGTAAATCTGCCAGCAGACTAAACAGAAGGCAGTAAGAGGGCTTCAAGGCAGCAGTCAACTGCTGGTAACTAGCTTTGAAACCCTTGCTGGTATCATCTTTTCTCTCAGTGGTACACCATCATAAGGTAAAATAATGAGAGGTCTGTGGTCGGATAGAAAGGTAACTGATTTTTTTTTTTTTTTTTTCATTTCACCCACCTTTGCTACAAAATAAAAAAAAAACACATATATCTTCCCATTCCAATAAAGCCTACTGACTGTTAAAATTAGCATTTTACTAAATCTATAGTTAATAAATAAATGGAACTCACAGCATGTTTTAAGGCAAGTCCAATGCGCTCTGCAACTTCTTGGTTCTTATGAGTGTCAGGGGATAAGTTGTTCCATGCTTGTACAATAACAAACATGTCATCTACTCCAATACCTGCAATAGAAACAATGTACTGGTAAGTTTGATTGTCAGAAGATAGTGACACAACAGTCCAACTGCTTGATGATTTTGGCTACAAAATGACCATGGATAAAGTCTCAGAATTCAAAGCAGTCTTACCAAGTAAAAGAAATGGCAGTGTTGAGTGAACAGGACCATAAAAAACTCCAAAAGCGCTGGCCAGCCCAAATGACACACCAATGGCCAGTCCAATGCAAATGACACCAAGTAATGCCAGCCAAGCCTACAGTAAATAAATAGTAAATTGACATGTAGTGCCATGGAAAAGCTGCCTGGCTAGAGGCTAGAATTGACTTCAGTATTGTAAAACAAAACCATGCTATTTAGAATTAAAAAACCAATGGTTGAGTGTAACAAATTCAAAGGAGCCAATGGGAGTATAAAGCAAATTAACCCTTCCACTTCCAGAAGTGATCAACATGAAACTTCTCCTACAATATCCTTACATTATCCAGCAAACAGGTAATGAGAATATTCAAACTCATCAGGTGGAAGTTGTTAACTTGATCTAACACCAAATTCTCATAACTAATTTACAAGTGAATATGTAGCAGATAGAGGGGAGAATTAATGATCAGATCTTAGGAGTTAAAGGGTTAAGGCAAGCCAGCTGCTTGAAGAGTGAGGAAAACTTGACAGATAAAGTCAGGAATGGCTTTGTTTTACATCTGATTAGTTCAGAAAGTGGTGAATATTTTTCAAGCTGATTGCAAAATCTTGTATTGGTAAAAGGGGATAGTTTTCTAAAGAAATCATGGTTCTACATTAGTAGTGGGTATTAAAAGACAATTTTGGTTCATCAATTGAGATGATAACACAAATTGGCTACTGTAAGGAGTTACTAATTAAAAGCTGATGTTCCTTCATTTTGACAAAGTGTTCCTTACATTTGAAACATCAGCTTGAGAAAATCTTTGCAGTGGCTAATTTACATTATCAACTCAGTTCATAAAACCAAATTATTGAGTAATGGAAAGCCAACGACTTAACCTTTAACCCCTGAGAGTGACCAGCATCTAATTTCTCCTTACAATATCACCCCTGAATCAAACATTAAGGTCATGGGAATCAAGGAGATGATCACCAACTTATAAAGCTCTTGATCTTTAAACAAATTCTCCTTGAGAGCGATTCGGGAAATGTATGGATACTCAGTCTGCGTACTCAGTCTGATGTTAGAGTGTATTTAGGGTTAACCTAAACTTAACTTCCTCCAACAGTCACTGAAAAATCCCTCCACAAGTATCCCAAAAAATACATGCCTTGACTATCTGCACAGTCCAAACAACAATTTACTCTACGACGATTGTAAACCAACAATAACTGACAATGACTGTATCACAGTACCTTGATATTGAGACGAGTTAATCTTCCAAGCATAACAGCAACATAAATAATGATAAGAATGTACCCAATGGACAGGAGTTGAATATCACCTTGAATGCTGTCACCTGAATCTGTTCGGTCTCTGATGATAAATTCAACAAGCATTTTTAATCATTAAAACATCACTGAAAACAACTATCTATTTCTGTAGTAGTTTTGTTGGAGGCAGCATCCTGCTATTTTGTCCAAAGAAAGGGAAAAAGTATATAATGTATATATAATGTGATTTATTTTGTGCAAAACTTACTGGAGACGTGTGTAATAATACAGCTCTGCAGATGATGGCTCCTGAGCATCCATCAATTTTCCAAATTTTTCTTCCCATTCATCTGTATTTTTATCCTCCTAATAAAAGAATCAAGCATTTTCTTCATGACAGAAAGATAGTAATTTTGTGCTGAATTATAGATACTTTCAGAGCAATTTATTCAATCAAAACTTTGCAGAATCTCCCTTTAAGTTTGTCCCTTTAAAACATGGAACAGTGAGATACTGGCTGTGAACAACTGTTACTGAACCATTCTCTAGCTTATAGCTGAAGTTATGACTGGCAACTTTTCTCAGAAAAGAGCTTATTCAGGTAGAGTTCACAAACAAAGGAACCATTTGAGAGGAATACAGATATCACATTAATTAATATACCACTTATGTTGAAGATGAGGTAATGACATCGATGAGGCAGAAATAAAAATGAAGACAACAGTGATCATGTTCATCCATGATACAAATCAATGAAGTATCTTGTACATATTCATAAACTTGGATTCATACAAGGATTACTAAACCCATAAATTAAAAGTTTTTCAAATGGAAACTGAAATAAACCCTACTGGATTTTTATCAGAAGAGAAAGCTGATTGTTAGAGGAAAATCCCATAATCAGGAGTAGAACTATTCAAAACTAGAAAACAGTAATGGCAGAGTACGCATTCTGATACATTGTACTTTTCCCCTTCCACTGCATCTTTCCACATCTATCCCAGTATCTAAGACTGAATATCTATACATTGTATAACATTTGTCAACCAAAACCCTTGGGTTTTCAATAACATTTTCAATAGGCAGCTGTACCCAGAAAGGGACCTTGATGTGAAACCCAAACACAACTCAGCCTGCTCACAAGCTAAACAGATGGCGAAAAGAGATCTTATGCATGTAGGTAGTGTTAGTCCACCAGTGATCAAAACACTTCCTGTCTGTGTATAAATATAACAAAAGGTGAACTAGTATATAGTTATATATAATAACATACCAAAGCTCCTGTGTTTTTGTTCAGTTCAGGGGTATATTTTATCCCATATGACATTGATGTTGCTTCAGCCTTTGTAATGTAACCTGATTCGTTCTTCGCGATTCCTCCCAAGTATTGGGACAGCACAAATCTTTTGTTTGTCACAGGACTGAAAAATAAAACAAACACATGAGTATCTTTACTCATAAATTCCTTCAATGTTTCTATCAATCAACATATAAAGAACCTGTGATCAAGTGTACAAGTGCAATGATTTCAACTCTCATTCTATTAAATTAAGAATGGATTAATTGGTCTTGGATATATAGCTGCCTTGCTTACCCAAACTATTTGGCTCAGTTCATAAACTCTTTGGATATCATTACTTGGTTCATGTACTACAATAACTGTATTGAGCCTAGTTTACAATTTGCAAGGGAATTCTCAAATCTCCCCTTCCATGATCCTGTTATTATTTGTAAATCAATTAATAAATAAAATTTTTAGTATCTAAAAATCACATACAAATTTATGAAAAAAAAATGCACACCCCTACCCCCCTCAAAAAAAAAAACAGAAAGAGAGACAGACAGACATACATACAGACACATAAACCCATTGGTTGATTGCCTGACTGACTAATAGACCAACAAAAGGACAGACATTTAGCCCACTGGCTGATCAACTAATTGAGACAGAGATACAGACAAGGTAATTTGGTATTATTAACTAAGCAGATAAATAAATGTAAATTGGCCACTGTAGAGAGTTTCAAGGCCGACGTTCTGAGTGACTGACTGACTGACTTACTGGCTAACTAACAGACTAACAAAATGACTGACTTTGGGAGAAATTCCATAACTGGTACCTTATTATGACTGGTTGGTTTATTTTCTTCAAGATTTCTTCCTTTGTTAGAGAATTGATGAGAGTCTCGTTAAACGACCAAAGCTCCAGTAGACCATTGTTAGAGCAAACTGGACCAACCCTATAAAAAAATCAATTTTCATTATTTAAGTAATCAGTTATGATGACTTACTCACTGTCACACAATAGTGACACAGTTATTATCTACAGTGTACAATACATCTTAACTTTTAAAATTTCTTTTTAAATTCTAATCATTATTTTATATTTACATGTAAATCTATGATATCTTTAGTTTCATTGGCAGTTACTAACAGTAGTTAATATTTACAGGAAAAGAGCAATTTTTTAGTCAATGGAGATACTGTAAATAAAACATAAGATAATAACCATTATTATTATTATTATTATTAAAATTAGTCTCAACATCATCATCATTATTTTAAATTATCATTACTATGTCTTCCTTAACTCTACAATATCCGTGTTTAAGGTACAGTATATCATATGATGAACTTGGAGGATTGAACTTAGAAAACCATGATCTCTTGTAATACATTCCTAGCTTTTTATTGTGGTCCTCACAAGAACACTGCATGGAGATGGCAATTCAACTACACAATCAAACACCAGTTAATTAGCATTAATGAGTGGAGTTTGGTTTTTTTCATGCCTGATTGCCATTTTCCTGATAAAACAACATTCCAGAGATTTTCTGAGTTGTTCTGTAAACAACTGAAGAAAAAAGAAAAAAATCCTTGCTTTCTTGGCAAAAGAAACTTTATGATAACACAAAAAAACAACATGTACTTAATATATGGCTGATTCTATTTTAGATTGATTTTATAACATCACATACTAACCTAAAACAAAATTTTTCCCAAGAAATATCAGTTCCATTGCCTATTTTGGTGACCTTGTTTTGAATCATAAGTGCCTAAAAGATAACACAACAAAAAAGGTTAGAAATATATAATTTTTGAATAACTTTACAGTTTCAAAGTCCCTGGCGGATCTAACTTGAACTATTTATATCTGTTGCACTCTCACAATTGGTTTGTTTCTGATGTGACAGAGCAAGTCTAGAGAATTTTTACATTTCATAAAATTTTGAATCAAAATATCTGGTTTTATTCTCACTATTTTCAGCTAATTATAACTGTTTAAGTGAAATATATGGTAATCCTAGAAATGCAAACACAAGTAAATGATATTTGGAGAGATTAGACACAATGTTGTTTAGAAAAGTTACTGATTTGCAACATTGACATCCAATGCCAGGGTGGATATTCACCGAGCCATGAAGTAGCGAGGTAAATATCCACCACTTTCACTTAACACCGAGGTGAATAATTGTTTTATTATATACCACATAGCAACCAAAAATATAGTTTCCCTATGAAATTACTTTTTTTTTCTGATAGCCACTTGGCTCCTAAATTTTTCAAAGTGGTAGCCAATTCAAAAAAAGTTCATCGCCATTTTGAAATACAAACAAAACCCTCTTTTACGCTGTTAGTGTTCTAGACAGACCCTCCAAAATTAAATTAGGAAAAAGATCTTTAACATGCTACAAAGTGGACACTAGGATGGATGATATACAACCTTCAAGCTAACATAAACTCAAGATGGCATCTAGTTACTGATCGAGATGCATGTGCTGTGTTTTGGAAACAAACTTAATGAGGCAAACAACCTTTTTAATTTACTATATCTCTAGGTAAGGTTATGATGAAGCATTCTGGTTGCCAATTTGGCAACTAGTTTTCAGGATTTGGTCCCCAAAGTGAAAAATTTAGTTGCATTGGCGCCTGTATTAGGCACAATTTCACACCCTGAATGCATTTCAGACAGCCTTGTGCCTAAGGGTATGCATAAAAGATAACAGTGAAGTGCATTTTTTAGATAACAACTACAGAAGCTGAAATTTGCATCAGTTAAAAAAAAAATTGATGGTTAGGTGATACATGTAAATAAATGTACTTTACTTTACTTCAATCACTTTTTCTTAGTTTAAAAAAGTTCAAACTTGTTAGATTTTCAGTTTTTGTTGTCCTTTATACATTTTCATTACATGAAATAGTAAAATCTCAACAAAAATTGAACTGGATCAAAAAATTTACACCAACATAAAAACAAGGGATTCTCAAGGATGTATTCCAGATGTGAGTATTCCTAAGCAATCAAAAATGAGAATAGCACTTAAAAAGTTAATTTAAAGGTGATAGAAGGGGAGGAGATCCAAAATCTAAAATCTGAAGATTTCCTTTTGCTACCACAGTAATACTTATATATGGGCTGATGGAATTCACTGACTTATTTCTGACTGTTCCCTAACTAACATCAAATTTCCCTGACCAACTCAATTAACAGTTACAAAAACTTAACTGAATTAACAACCCCACAAACTTCACTTTTACATACATGTACATGTATTTGAAATATCATTTTTCCCTGCCATCTTTCAAAGCCGTAAGATTTCCCTGGCTTGGAGTGAAATTCCCTAACCCTTCCCTGTGACCTTCAAGAAATTTATATTTTCTGAACCTTTTCCTGACCTGTGACAAGAATAACAGAAAACATAGTGGATAGTACAGTCAAAATATTATTATGGTATTTTACCTCTTTCAAAACTGCAGGAGTAAGAACATCTCCTGCCACAAGTAGAGCTGTGGAAAAGCGCACTTCTAAAGGAAAATTTTCATCCACCCACAGTTTGTGCTTTTGTGTAGTTGAATCTTCAGGAGTCCATAACTTGTCCCCCCGAGCCTCCTGGGTAAAGTTGATCAGTCCAGCAGCACATCCTCCACAAACAATGAGTGAAATTAAGATAGCAATCCAGGGATTTCCACCAACTGCTTTTCCCAACCTGGAGAAAAATAACATAAGTCTACAATGTTGAAAAATCCTTTTTAATCTTCTCCATCAATATACTTAATCCTCAGTAACTCCCAAGATCAGATTGTTGATTCTCCTATCTAGTTTCTACACATTTCCTTGTAAATTAGTTACAAGAATTTGGTATGAGATCAAGATAACAAGTTCTACCTGATAAGTGCAACTGTTCTCAAAACTTATTTGCTGGATTAAGTCTGGACAACATTACGAGAAATCAGATGTTAATCTCTTCTCGGAGTTAAAGGATTAACCATCTTAAAGTTTGTGTACCTAGACATAAAGTCTGAACCTTCGATGATGCACTTCACAAAGATACATAACTAGGTTATTTATTAATCAAGATTGTAAAAATGATTCATTTAGAGCAAACAAGTTTACTGAATGTAATATTTTAAGATTTCGTTCCACTATTCTAAAAAGAGGCCTTGGTACCAAAGGTACATCACTGTTTTTGTCATTGCTTTCTTTCCTTAAAGAGCTGTATGTCTAATGATGCAATGGCTAAATTGAAGAATCTTTCCTGTCGTACATGCAATGCTTAAAGTGATGTGATTATCAACAAAAACGGCAAACTTGCCACATAAGTAATACTTAGTAAAATAAATGAATATATGTTATAAACCAAAATGAGAAATGAAAACAACAATGAGATTAAAAACAACACAGGCCATCCAAATTTAGGAAAAGAAGTTTGTTTATCAACAAAATCATACTCTTAACATCTCGACAAATTCTGTACTTTACAATGCAATTAATACTGCTGTATGATGTTAACATAATGTTATTATTGACAAAAGTCCAATATTGCTGCTTTTATTAGTAATTACGTGTGAATTTAATAACGCCTTAATACAGGGAAAACGGACGTTAGGCTGAAATACAAAATAAGGTATTAACTTTAAAGCGCAATATGCTTATCCCGAAATTTCACATCAACTCCCAGCTTAAATTTATGTAAAATAACTAGGCTTACTTACGCGATGCTTAGGCGATGCCATAATCAACAAAACTGCAAGCTTGCCTTTTAAGAAATAATCCTTTGTGATTATCATTAATTACGCTCATTCACTGCAACCAAATGAAGATAACATCGAAGAAAAAAAACAATACGTAGATTTTCCGACCAAACATGCTCATTTCCAAAATATCATAAATACTTCCGATTTGCCTGAATTTCACTGAATTTTTAACGAATAAGCTTTGCTTGTTTTGCCTTACCTCGAAACATGTAGCGAATACTAGGTTTTTTAAAACATTAAAACATAATAGTCGGGCATTGTGCCTGATCTTGTTTTCTTTCTTGACGGCAGCCACATTGAACATAAGATTAACCGAAGAATCTGTAAACTCGTACGGCTCTGGCAAAATATTTGCGTTAAGCGAGTACCACAGCGCTTGTTTTCGTAAACATGTGTTTGAATCGGCCAAGGTTAAGGCAACGATTGAGCAACTATTACATCACGCTTATGGATGACTAATTCTAAACGAAACGAAACTCCAGCCATCGACCAGCGTTTGAATTTCGCACATGAAATATACGCATCAAGACGGTCATTACTTTATGTCGGTTAAATATTAACTCGACCACTGTCGATCTATCTATCAAAACTTCGCTCACACTTCACAATACAAACAACTGCAGAATATACAGGTAAATATTGGCTGGTCGTTTGGACGTTATTGGGAAGATATCGTTAATCGAATCAGTTTTTCGTAGGCTATTCTTAGCTATAAGTTAGATTAAGTAAAAAAACACTCTTATAAATTTTAATTTTGTTATAGCGTTTAGAGTTGTGCAGTTGGTAACACATTTCAGTTTCTTTCTCCAGCCGGCATAGTTACGTAATGGCGTCCCAAATTTAACACGAAAGGAAATCATACAAATTAAAAAGTGAGGTAGGTGTGAAGAGCTTTTCAAACTGCACCAGAAAATGGCCATAGCTTCCTTTTTCTTTTCTTCCTTTCTTCGCCATACAAAAATTTTCCCTTCCGTAACAATCTCCGTGACAGCTGCCATCTGCAGTGTTCTTCAAATGCGAATATACATTCACTTTTATTTGCCTGTCTTGTAATCAAATTTTTACTCACCTATAAAACCCTTTTTCCATCGAACCAGTGATGAAATTGCTTACTTTATTCAGGCACTGGCATTTTTTATTTTCTGTCCCATCCTTTGAAGCAGAAGGACTATCCATCTTCGTTCGTGACGGTCGCCGCTACTTTAGCTTGGAGCCACTGACTTGACGACAGTACAACAACTGACATGTACTATGTAGGCGACAACATATTTCGGACTAGGGTGGGACCAGGAGTCCGTTTTTCCGGTCAAGATTTTCGTATAGTTTCTTCCATTTTATACATTTAAGAAAAATTATCATGAAATTTCATCTTTCGATAGAATACAATTGCGACAAAATTGTTTAAATTCTTGTCGAAAACATTATCACTGTAAATAGTTTTATTTTTCAAAAATGTTTCCTTATCAGCGAGGGGACCCTTAGGAACTTTTGCTCTTCCTTAGTCCTCCTTTCCATGTCTCGAAATAAAGACACTCTTGATTAAAGCAGAGTTGACGTCATTAACTCAAGATAGAAGATTTACTTTTTGTTATGCAGATCGAAGTGTATGAACAGAAAATCTGTAAACTCTTCTTGCTAAAATGCAAATCTATTGTTTGCCTCTCAAGTCAATGGTGTTACAGTGATCTTTAATATTGCAGTGTTTGTGCCAGGGGTTCACGACATCGAAACTCTCGTCAAAAAGATCAGACAAAAAAAAATATTGCTTTGGGGTAAACAACTGCAAATTAGGCGTCAAATATTTCCTACTCGGGGCGAAAATGTCACGCCCCATTCGGAACGATGGAAAAGATGGTGTTGATCTACCGGATGATATAATTAACATTTTGTCAAAGAAGTGTTTACCGTGGCTTGAATAAGACTAACGTTTTTCTTAATCGCTTCCCGATAACAGACCGGATTTCTCGTCGAAAAGCACTAATTATTGTATACACGTCGATGGAATATCAGTATTTCTCCCATTCGAAAACGTGATGTCCCGCACGCAACTAACGTACCTTTAACATCCTCGTACGTGAATTGTGGATGACGAAATGGGACCGAGCTAAGCAATATAACACTTTTCTTTTACATGACGAAACTTGCTAAATACGAACTATCTTTTTGAGAGAAAAACTTTTTTAAAATTTTGTTTCACTTTGAAGTTAATAGTAAAGGTTTTTGCTTTGTGAGTGAAGTATACGAGCAGGTGGTATCCGGTGCTCTTAAAATGTTTTAAAGTTGTCTGTGATCTAAATACGTTATCAGTATATATGAAAACAGCATGCCTGCTCGTGGATACGAATGCATTTTTCTCGCGTTGATGACATCTTTCATCAGCGTTTGCATGGCTTACTCATAACTTGCGAGAGATGTCATTAACACTCGAAGTTAAAATTCGTTCCCACGCAGATCACCCACGCACGGCCTCCACCAACATGTATCTCACAAGTTTGATTCTTATCAACTACTTTCGATTATTATCGGATGTCACCAATTTTTTTCTAATTCTTTGCTTTGCTAATGATAATATTGATAAAATAAAAAGTAATCATAATCTGAATACCTTTATAAACGTCATTTTTATAATAATTTTTTTCGTGTTTTTATTTCAGATTAATAATCTATGTATTGTGATTTTGAGAGATATCAATGACAGTTCTCAATCGTCACTTGCTCTTGCCGGACTTGCAATGAAAATCGATAGCGGCATTCAGAACAATTAGACATTTCACGTGAGACCCTTCGATGGCTTTCAAACAGCGTTACGTTCGTATCTGGCATTGGTCTTGTTGGGGTTTTAAGCGGTGAAGTTGCATTTTTACGACTTCTTACATCATCACTGTCTATTTCTCTTGACTACAAACCCTTGAAGTTTTCTTCAAATACCCTGAGGACCCCTGAGATTCGTCAGTTAGAGGAGACTGCCTTTCCGTGTCAGTGTCGCTTAAAAAATGCCTTTTTAACTTCGCTCGATTGTCGCTGACACTAAATTTTTTTTTAATCGTTAACTGTTTTCGAAAGCTATATAGAACGGTTCACTTTATTGTTTATATCCGTGGTCAATTAGTCGTGAAGCTGCCTTGAAATTCCTAGACGAGAGAGGCGGAGGGAGGGAAGCGGTATCTCATAGCTTGTACCCAGATCTCTTACTTCTTTACATTCCGAGTAGGAATTAGGTCCCAAAACAAATATGGCGGCAATGGCGGTTGAAAGAGTCTGTTGAGTTCTACTCGATTTTAACCAAGTTTTTGACGTTTTGAGAGCAGATATGCACGATAGAACGATGCTAGATAAAAATATGAGACTTTATGCTTCCATTCTAACGGGGAATGACTCTATTTCCGGTTGAAATCGACGTATGATGATGTGACGTTGGACACGATGTTGTAGCGATCGATTGCTCTTTTGAACATCATGGAAGGAGCTTATCAGCAGAAAGCCATGGAAGATCTGATAGAGGAAAATCGAGCTCTTCTAGAAGAACTTTCTCAATGTAAAGCTGATAAGGATTTTGTGTGGAATTTATGGCGGAGATTGCAATCATCACAACCTGATGTGACCTCTGTTGTGAGTATGGTAATAGCACGCGAACAAGAGAAGAGTGAACACAAAGACAAGAAAGTTTTAGAGATTTTACAGATGAAGGATGAAAAGATCAAAGAGTTCAAAGAGAGGCTATTGTCAGCGGAGGATGGAGCACACTACAGCAAGACGCGATATCACGACTTACTAATCGAGAACGAAGAATTAAAACAGAAGCTGGACGAGGAACAAAAGAAGTTTTCAACAAAACAAAGAGAACTAAGCGAAGAAAATAGCTATTTTTCCACTTTGTTGAAAGCTCATCAGGCGCAGAAAGAAGTCGATGATCAAACCGTTAAAGAAAATCTGGATAGTATTGAAGAGGAGAAGAATCAGCTAAAAATTAGGATCGCTGTATTAGAGAAGCAAGTGAGTGATTTTAGCGAGGAAAAGTTGAATATGGCTTCGGTTATCGAAGTTAATGCAACTCTTGAGGAAAAGATCAAGACATTGGATGGTGAAGTAAGTGCCCTGACCTTAAAAAACACCGAAGTTGCCAAGAATTGTGAAGAAGCTGAGATAGAATTGACTAACAAGGAAAATATTTTACAACAGCAGTTACAGTCATTGCAAGAACAAGGTGAAACAATTAGAAAATTAGAGAGCGACTTGGAAGCAGCGAAGAGGGAATTTGAACTAGTCGGAGAAGAATGCAAGCAGTCTATGGTGCAAATGTCGGAGAAGGAAAGGATCATACAGCAACTCGAGGAGAATGAACAAAGGAGTCGGCAAGCTCTGATGGATCGCGAGCAAGAATACCGCAGAGGACTCGCGTCCTTGCAAAAATCTGTCGCTGATTTGCAAATCCGATGCTCGGAGTATCAAGAAAAAGAGACTAAACTGCTGCAGGATATTGAGAAATTAAAGGAAAACTCAAGCAAACAGCGAGAGGATCTTAACGTCAAGGAATTGATAATTGAAGAATTGAAGGATGCCGTGCGAGAGGGAATTCGTTCGGGAGACGTTTCAAGACGTGATGATGAACGAGAAAGCAAGGGAAGAACAATGGAGAGGAAGGCGAGGACAGAGGCAAAGATAGAGGATGGAAGAAGTGGCAGACGCGGTGAAGGAATTGAACTAGAAAGCTTGCAAGAGCGTGATGGAAAAGAACTTACCAATCGCTGCTACGAGACCATTGATGACTCCCCATCTAAAATCGTAGGAAATGAAGAATCGTTGGAAAGAAAGTTCGACAAAATAGCAGTTCTTCGTGACCTGGAGACTCGGCTGGGCGAAAGTCGCGATACAATTGATGAATTGAAGAAACTTTTGGAGCTTAAAGACGCGGAACTTGTGGAGACGCGACGCGCACATGCGCAGCGGCAACAACGCTATAGGATGCTCAAAGAGAATTACCAACTTGTCTTGGAACAAATTAAAACTTACGAGGCTTCAAATGCTGACGAAACCGGAAGCGTGAAGCCACTTCCGGAAAGGCCGGAAGAACGTGAACTGAGGCACTTGGACAGTGATCAAGTATGGAAGGAATTGGCTTACTACAGGCACGAATATGAAGAACTGGCTAAAGAAAGACATGATGTTTTAGAAGAGATTGATATTCTTCGAGTGCAGCATTCTCACAATGTCGCAAACATCCAAGAACTACAAGTTCACCTCCGTGAAGAAAGAGAAGAGAGCAACGTGCTTAGGCATAAAATTTCAGCAGAGACACAGGCGTTTGAAGCACATCGACTTGAAGTGGAGAAACTCGAAGATCAGTTACAGAGTTGGCAAGAAAAAGCTCTCCGAGGACAGACGATGTGTAGTGAGCTGGAGGAGGGGAACCAAATTCTGCGGCATGAGATGAAAGCCATACAAGGCCAAAATAAATCTCTTGCGGAGGAGTTCAGTGGTTTAGCGGAAGAGTTTGAGAATCTTAAAAAGCGCTATGATGAACTTGTCAATAAAGAAGCGAATAAGAATGAAAGAGAAATGTCTGGTGCAGTACCAGACGGAACGGCACGACCTGATAATATCAGTGAAACCGCTCAAGAGGATGCAGAATTTGCCAAACAGCACGTTGAATCTTTGAGTAGTTACGACGAGCAAGTCAAACGCATTGCTAATCGAATTTTATCAAGCCCTTCTAAGGATGCCGGAGAATCAGAAAGGAAAGTCTCCTCGACACATGGAACGCAAACAGACCCTGTCCCTTGTTTTGTCGACACTAGCGTTCATGTGAACTTAGATGCAGAAGATGCCCCATCAATGGACGAAGAGGACACGTATAATGTCAAGCCTAGTGCGGAAAAGAGAAGAGCTGTCACTACAGAGACTAGAGCTCGTCGGCAAGGTACTCCGCAGCCTAAAAAAGTCGTGAGGAAAACTCCCAGACGTAACGAATGGGCGAGCATGAGGCAGCGAATCCTAAGTCTCACGCAAGAAGTAAATGCGCTTCGACAGTCCAAGGACAAAGCAGTGAAAGCTCTGAGTGTTCAGACAAGTGACTATGAAAGTTTACAAACGGAATACAACGCATTGCTAAACAAGTTACATGTCGCCAGGAATTCAGTGCAGCATTTGAATGATAGCTTGAAGCTTTGCACGCGGGAGAAAGAGCGTTTGGCGGAGGAGCTGAAAGAGAGAAGTGAAATTGATTCCAAACCGAGTTCTTTGTCGATAACAGAGTGGAAGCGTTTGGAAGAGGAGTTACGACAAGCAACGATGGAATGCATTCGGTTAGCCAACATTGTTAGAACATTAAACAGCGAAAACGAACAGTTGAGAGCAAAGATTAAATACATTCAAGAAAACAACATAAGGCTTGAGCACGCAGTGACTCAGAAGAAAACTTTAGTGGACGAAATGAAATCTAAGATGAAAGAAGTTGAAGGAAAAGCTAAAAAAGATGCGGAGACAGCCAAGAATATGGAAGAAAAACTCTCGCAGTTAAAGGAAAGAGAGAAAGTAAGCAGAGTGAGAATCGAGACACTTGAACATCGTTTGGATGGCGAGACTCGGGAGAAACAACACCACCATCAGCAGCTGTTGAGTTGTCAGAGTGAACTCAAGAAAAAGATGCATCAACTGAACAGGTATGCTTTTTGAAACAGGAAATGTATTGCACCCTCTATCCTAACAAGGGGAAATTTTGAATCAGTTAACTTCCTAGAATGTAATACGTTACCCCAGTAAAATTTTATCTCACTTTTGCGTGGGTAGTGTAACACATAATTTCTTATTTTCTCCGAATGGTAATGAATAAATCGCACCGAATTTCCGTGTATGAATGAGCCAACATGGGCTCGGAATGAAAGTTTTTAATCTAAATTTTAAAGAAATGATTAAATATTCCTGAATTAATCTCAATGATTTTCCTGCATAATTTCTTTAAAAGGTCCCAGACTCTGCGCAACCAAGCCAAATTAGCTGTCAGTGAGATGGAAGCGGCGGCCACATTGCAGCTTCAGGGGTTAGCCAATCAGAGTGAAGCCACGATAGCCTCGCTTCAACGAAAGCTCGACAAGGCACAGGAGCGAATAGATGAGTTTCAAGCGTTCGTTAGAACACTTGTGGAAGAAACCCTTTCGCGAACACGCATAATGCGACGGAAACTAGAAGCACTGCACGAGAAGCAATGGCGCGAAACTTCAAAGGCGGCTGTGAAAGAAGCTCAAAGTAAGGCGTGTTCGATTCTGAACTTATCATCTGCAGATCTCGACGACATTATGGACGAAAGTGCCAGTCAAAGAGAAGAGGCGAGGCTAAGGATCGAACAGGAGAAAGCCTGGCTGGCGGAGGTGGAATCTGCGCTAAAGCGACAAGGAACGTTTGGTGTTCCACTCTTAGAAGTATTACTGGACTTAGTAGACGACAGAGTGGCAGTTGAAGCGAAAGTTATGGGGTCGTAGATCCAATATCTAAATGGAAGGCCCAAGGGCGGTTTTAGAATCTGTGTCAGAATAGTCAGCGCCTTCAGAGAAATTTTCAGCTGAGCGCCGAAAGAAATCTGAGATCGCTTTGGTTTTGCGTTTTGTTGTGATTGGTTCAGAAAAGTCGCGCAGCGAGTAAACAAAGTAAATAATTTAATAAAAAGTACTCAAAGACAAGAATAGTAAACATTAAGATTTTTGTAACATTAAGCAATTTATTGGAGGACTCCAAGTCTTTTCCTAGCAAAACACAAGGTTTTTTAGGAAGTTTCTCTTCGAAAGAAATGTTTCCTGTATTTAACCTACGTGTTTCTCTTATTGAGAAATTTCATGTCTTAAAACAAGTACAACAAATATAAAGATACCTAAAAATAAAACATTTACAAAATAAGTTCTTAGACAATTTATATCTGTAATAACACTACTTGTTACCAAGTCTAATCGCAGCAGAAAAAAACGGATGAAGCTGAACAACAGAACAACAGTGCCAGACTGTTGTTACCAGGCTTACCTCTGTTATTTTCTACCGAGATGTGTACTAGGTACCAATGTTCAAAATTTATTGAGGGCGTACTAAGTCTAATAAATTAAAGGTTGTTTTGCAACCCGTTTCTTTGAAAACACACATTTTACAAGCTATTTCCTAACCTTAAAAGCAAAAGGAATACGTTAAAAAGACATCGGGAGCTTGTAGCCTCAGATCCGGTAGACCTCAAGCTTCCAGTTGTCCCAGCCTAACTTAATAATTCCTAACAAGCAACCGCGGAGCCGAAGGGCAGGAGGGCAGGGAGAGAGGAGAGGGGGGTGGGGAGAGAGGGAGGGGGTAAGGGAGAGAGACGAGAATCTGTGTTTTGTCCGTCCCCTCCCCTGTTGGATTTTCGTTTCGCCGTCGCCACTTCCCAACTTAGATAACCTCCATTATTTTGCCAAGTAGCTTGGGAGACAAACAGACAACGCTGCATTTAGAAACATTATAGCAAAAAAGATGACTGAACCCATTTAGCTTTTCTGTGCGAATCCCGCTTGAGCTTCAGCCTTAATCGAGCATCCAGAGCACTAACATTGCGCATGTGGAAATAGAAATGTGTTGCGGATGTCAGAATGGAAATGGACTACAGTAAACCGATTCCAACTTAGGAAACTTATAGATTTAACGATGAAGGCAGAGTACTAGTAAGAAAATTCTACTGGCATACACGCTCTTTTATATATCTACTCTCAACAGATTCCAATTTTCATTTCTTTTCTCCACTATTTCTTTAAACTTGAAAAAAAGCTAAATCAGTTTCAACCTAACAGTAAGCGTCTTAAAAAATGCTCAAATTACATCGGCAGTAAAAATTTTAACAGCAAACTAAGAAATAGCAGACAACGAAACAAGATAGAATAGGTTCAAAGTCAAAAATTACTGCCGTTTAAAAGGCATAGGTACTTAAAAGTAAAAACGAAAATTCAAAAGCCACCAGACCCTATATTTCTACCTACTACAAATTCAATTCAATGTCTTAAACCTTTAACTCCCAGAATTGATGAACATGAAACTACTCTGTAAAATATCCATACATGTAACCAGCAAACAGGTGATGAGGATATTCAAACTCATCGGGTAAAAGTCATTATCTTGATCTATCACTAAATTCTTGTTCCCAATTTACAAGGAAATGTGTAACAGCAAGAGGGGAGAATTAACAATCAGATCTTGGGAGTTAAAGGGTTAAGTTTAAAATGCAACTTCTCTTTTGACACACTTATACTTACGGAAAACCTTTGTTCATGGGACACAACCATTGATCCTATCTAAACTGTATCTATTACCTTTGTTCATGTTCCCCCACTAAAGAGACACCTCCATTGATGGAAACATTTCGTACAGTTAAAAAATTTTTCTGTGAACTGAACTGAACTGCTTGTTTGTCGGTAGAAAAGAAATGGCGGTGATTTAGAAAGGGCAATTTCCGGAGAGGGATCAGAATTTCTTTTCTTCGTTCTCTCTAACTTTTTAAGGGAGATTCAGACCTCAACATCCCCAAAACGTGGATAATCGGACAAACGGACAAACGACGCTCTTGGCCCGGCGTCCTCGTCACGGTACGGCGGTTCGCTGATCGCGAACTCACGCGGGTAACTGGCAACGTCTTCATTTTCTTCACCATCCGTCTGATTCTTTGCAAAGTTAATGAACACCTAAACAGAGAGACATAAAATTAAATACTAGCATAGCTATTTCATTACCAGCCAACGGACAGTTTAAGAGGAATGTGGGAGAACTAGGTCAGCTACGAAGTACTGAAGCAGAACGCGAAAGAAAAGCTACAGTAGCGGTCTTGTGTGTTCGTTTAATTAAATTTCACTTGATTTAAATTCGATTGTACATAGTGATGACGCGTATATGTATGTGCGCATTAAAACACAGAGGGAGGACTTCGTCTCATAAAACACTTTAAAACACTGCATCGCCCGTAGAAGGTGCCGTAATGCAAAACCCAAGCATTACACCCCGCAGGTCAAAAAGAATGCTTTAAGAGGTCCTGCAGACGGCGGTGTACCGCCAGCAACCGGGTTTCATTGAAACCCCTTGGGTTGACTTTGGCTGTCTTAACTTAGCGATCTTTTGGTTTTCACTCTCTCATCATAACTAATAGGATCTTATTCTATCTTGGGCTATCCATCTGATATAAAACCTGGCGGATGTTGGTCATATTAAGATCAACAAACCTGATCAAGGGTTGTCTGTGAAACGGAATAGTCTTCAATGTCGAATATTTTTCGGTTGGCTTCGATGTGACCAAACACTTTAGAGAGAACAAGGCCTTGAGATGGGAATTGATACTGCAACTGGTTATGATGCTGGTCCTGCAGAGAAAGTCGAAAGCAAGCCAATCAGTTAACGAAGAAGATATAAACTCGTACTGTTCATGGGTTGGCAGACAAGGTGATAGGCTTTTTAGAAGAAGAAACCAAAGGTAACCGTAGGTACACAGACAGGAGCGTCGGTTGGGAAGGAAAAGGATGGAAACTATGTTACGAAGCTACGGGGTTTGTGGCCTCTCGGGTCGGAAGATTAATGGAAAGAAGCGTGGAACACAGGTGGCGTAAGTAGACGAGTGAGTAGGAAAGTAAAAGGTAGGAATGTTAACCGGATAGAATGGGAAGAAAGGTGAACAGAGGGTAGGCAAGTTTTAACGAAGTTTGACTGGAAAGGAGGCCACATGAAAGATGGAAAGTTAGATAGGTGGGTAATTGAGTAAGTTAAACATTAATTAAGTACTTGTTGGATAAATAAGCAGATAAGGAGATATATTGGTACGCAAGTCTATCGATGGGTAAAAAGGCAGACAGGTTGGTAAGTAGGTAGGTTGGGAGGTGGTTCAGATGGCTAGGAAGGGTGTGTCACGTGTCTTAGAAACAACAATTCAGGGTATACAACGCAATCGATACCTTGAGAACAGCACTAGGAAATAAGCTTTTTATGAACTCCGACACAGCTTCCAGATTGGGATTTTCTCCTCCAATTCGCAGAGTCACTGTATAGCCATCTCCATATCTATTACACACATAACAAAATTCATAAGTCTACATGTATCTTACATGCGAAAGAACAAGCAAAACGTAAAGTGGAGATGTACAATGGCTTGTCGGGAGAATTGTTTATCATATCTGAGGAGTCACCGGGTTGACTGTGAACGGTTTCATCTCTTACTTGTTCTTGAGGTGCTGTGGACTGCCGAGACACTTAAATTGTCCATTGACCATGATGGCAACTCGACTACACAGTGCTTCACATTCTTCCATACTAAGAGGGAAACAACAAAGAGATAACAAAATGGTCAGATATAGAGGTAAATCCCTAAGATCCGTTCAGGGAAGCTCAACTTTCCTTAACTGCGTAAAAGAGAAGTAATCGAGATCAAAAACAAGACTTGGCATAAACCGCGTGTCAACTCTTTCCCAGAAGAAAGAAGAATGTTTTTACTAGTTCCCAACCTAGCTATCATTTACCCTTGAGAGCCCAGGTTTTCAATAGATATTATCTTCGGTAAACTTCGCAGACTGACAAATAAACGTTGCATAACTGATTTTTCCTACTTGTGAACGGTGGTTAGATATATTGATTCATACAAGTTTACTCATCTTCTCTGACGGTTTACCTGTGGGAAGTCAAAATGACTGTGCGTCCTTCTTTTACGAGACTAGTGATTACGTTCCATAAGAATCGGCGAGCTTTTGGATCCATACCTGTGGTCGGTTCGTCCTGAAAAGAAAAATTGAGATTTCATGACCACAACAAGTAACGGAAAGCAACACAACGTAACGTAACGAAATTACCAAGCGTTTTTACACCACATGTGCAGCTCGTTTACAACTTTAATCCTTTAACCACTAAGAGTGACTAGCATCTAATTTCTCCTTACAATACCGCCCCTGAATCACACGTTAAGGTCACGAGAGTAACGAAAATGATCGCTAACTGAAGAGGCTCTTGATTGTTAAACAAATTCCTCTAATCAGCACCTTAGAAAATGTATAGAGACTAGTATGGAGAATATGGAAACTGATGTTGGGGTGTTCGGAAAAGGAGAAGACTGGAACGGATCACGAAGATGAACAAGAAGTGAGGCACTTCTTCAAAAGAAACCGATAGTTTTCTGTGGTAGTGTTCAAGGGGTACGCAAATCACTAGGAGACAAATTTAGGAAAAAAAGACAACGGTGACCTACCAGGAAAACAATTGGTGGATTGCCAACTAAAGCAATAGCTGTGGAAAGTTTTCTCTTGTTTCCTCCGCTGTACCCTCCTGCACATCTGTTGGCGTATTCAGTCAAATTCATCCGAGCAATGAGGCTCTCGACGACCTGTAAACAAAAGTGATCAAAGAGATTGTTATACCGGCTCGTAATCCAAATACGTTTTCCAATTGGAGGAGAATACGTGACGTGCCATAGGCGAACAGTCACTACTTCCCAAGAGCGACTCGCACGTGACCTGGTCTCCACGAGGAAAAAGGACTTTGTTTCCCCTCAACGTTCCTGTCTCGGGGTTAAGCAGTGTTTTCTGTTCCATTTAATAGTTTGTTTCCATTTTTTCTTATGAGGCTACACAACCACAGAGATGGGCCCTATAGCTAACAACTACAGAAAAATGTCTCTTACAAGATCTGTTATCCAATCATTTTTTTATATCCTCATTGGCTGGAAGATAAATAATATATATCCAAATTGTAACGAAAAGTTGGGTATTGATATGTTCCGGAAGCTAAATGGTTAATAAGGAAACCTTTCAAACCTGTTTGACGTCTTTTTCGGGAACTCCTCTGAGGCGTGCATACAGTCGAAGGTGTTCAACGGCAGTCAGCTTACTATCCAGCCCATCAAACTGAGGACAGTATCCCATGGATTGGTGCGCGTTGTGAATGTCAGTTAAGACACTGATGGTGAAAAATAACAATAAAACGAAGGATGAGAACAGTTACCCACTAGTAGAGCTCATTTCGAGTGAGTACTAGACAAACAAAACTAAAATAATCAAAATGGCCAACCTAAACATAGTGAAATATCAGAAGGTGTTGGTCAGGATGGAAAACGAAATTCAGAAAACCGCGTGAGGCGAGGGATAAGGCCAGGCGTTTCCATTAAAGTCGGTAACAGGTGGTCAGCCGCCGCCAACAGGACCTCTCACCGCCGTCTGTTTAGTCTGGGAGCAGGTTCTCGTGTTTAGTTTTCCCCTACTGACCCTATTCCGGGCACAGCTGCTTATTAATATTATACCAACGGCAGCTGCTTAAGAAAAAGATCATTGAAACCCCTGGATAACGCACTTAACTAATCGCATCTGATTCGTTGAGAGACAGGCGTGAGTTTTTTAGGACTAATCACAGAGCGAAGTAAGGTAAACCAACGCAAGTCCAAATTAACTCCGACGCTGAATCAAGTATTACCGAAATTTTCAGTCGTGTATCGAAAGTAACCAACCAAACTGAAGACACTTCACCTGTAGCCATCGACAAAGGCTTCTCCTGAAGTTACTGAAATATCGCCTGTCAACATCTTGAAGGTGCTTGTTTTTCCAGCGCCGTTTACTCCAAGCAATCCAAAACACTGAGAGGAAAATAAAAGAGTCACTTGTTAGAGGTCTAAGTTCATTATCAAACACAAGTTGATAAAGGCAGATAAAAAACCATTAACAATTTTAAAGAACTGAAGCTTCGAGCGTTAGCACCTCGTTGAATGAAAGTGCAATACAAGTTTAGTTACCTTTATCAGACTTCCATTTGACCACAATAAATCAATTAGAGGTTTATAAAATTCCTCAGTTATTACATATTGACACCTGGAATATTATCTCTCTCATGATGAAATACTTAGTCAATTCAATATGGACATCCTATAAAAACCGATAAACTGGTCTCACCTCGCCTTTGGGGACCCCGACACACAGCCGATTCACCGCCACGTTTCTCATCCGTCTAGTTTTGTACACCTATAAAATAGAGGAGTTGGCTCAATACAATTCCAAAAAGCAACAGAAACCTGAGTTGGTATCTTTTCATTGGGTACAGTTTTGTTTTACGTCATTTAAAAAATTGGGATCAGTATCTGGGCAACTGCCCAACTACCCCTCCCCCAACCCAACAACAGTCAACTGATAACAAGTTAAGGTTAAAGTTGGTTAGGGGAGGGGTAGGTGGGCAGTTGCCCAGATACTGATATTGATCCAAAAATTGGTCGCATCACAAAAAAACAACCAGAAACACAAACAGCACATCAGCCGCAGATACCTTGACCTTTCAACCACTAAGAGCGATAAGCATCCAATTTCTCCCCACAGTTTCAACACTGAATCAAACATTAAGGTCAGGAGAATAAAGAAATTGATCACCAACTCAAGAGGCTTCTCCTTGTAGGTACCACAGGAAATGTATAGAAAATAGAGTGGAGAGTGTGCTTACTAATGTTAGGGTGTAAAAAATTAAAGGAAGTGTACACAAATTATTATTTACGCCTAGTTCATTTGGGGTATGGTGAAAAATAAGAGAAGCAACCAAAACGGCCAATCAGAACCAACGTAAAATTACAAGGAGCCAATCACAATTCGAAGTAGGAACAAGCAAACCTCTTGTCCGGCTGAAACGCAGGAAAACGTGAGTGGCTAAGTCGTGACTGGCTTAAACTTTACCTCCTTAGTTGAGTATATTGGCGCATGTTTTCTGGACCAATCATAGAGCAAAGTAAAACAAACGAAATCGCGGATTATTTCTCGATTGAACGTTGCCTTTAAGCGCAGAAAAGGTGTGAGGAAGCAGTGGCAAGTACGAGTCAGACATAGATGGGTTGAGTCCTTTAAGAAACCACTTGGAGCGCGCAGATAAGTCAAGAAAATGTGTCTCCTGAGTTTTTCTGATATAAGGAAAACGCTAGACTTGTGCCAGAACGTCTCACGCTCGGTTTAAAACTTACCTTAGTGAGATTCTTGAGTCGCAGAATGTCATCCGTTCCTTCTCCTCTTTCAATTCGTTCTCGTTCCTTTTCTACGTCTTCATCTTCGTTTTCTAATGGTTTGAGGGTGACATCCACCCGTCTAGTAGGGAAAAAAAGAGACACATTACTACAACTTTAACTTTTTAAACCCTCAAGCACAATGTTTCTTTTGGAGCCGGGCAGTAAGTGCTTATCTTTATCAGATCATGGTATTTTACATAAAGACTAGGACTACAATGACTGGCGAAATTAGTTGGCACGCCTCCCCTTACTAAGTACTCGAAAACCTCACCCACAGTTAACAGAAATTTTGTAATTC